GAAGTCACAATAAGATTCATTTTTTTGAGAGAGAATATGAGCAGAAGGAGCAGAGGGAGAGAGAATCTGAAGCAGTGCTGGATGCAGGGCTTGATCTCATGAGCCTGAGATCACGGCCTGAGCCAAAATCAAGAGTTGGATATTTAACCAACTGCACGACCCAGGCGCCCCAAGAGATCACAATCCTAAATCTGCACACCCAATAATAAAGCAACAAAATATTGACAGCAAAAATGACAGAACTAAAGGAGGAAACAGATAAAAGTATACTCAGAGACAGACCTTAACATATCTCTCACAAAATTAGACTAAGCATATAAAAAACTAGTAAGGGATAAAGAATATAAAAAAGCACAATTAACATACTTAGATACAATTAACATGGAACATGCAATCAATGACAGATTATATATATTTTTCAAACACACAAGAAACATCAAAATTAACCATATACTATATTATAAAGCAAGCATAAACAAAATCTCAAATGTTTGAAATCTTTCAGAGTATGTTCTCTATAAGTATAGTGGAATTAAGTTAATAATCAGTATCTAAAAATAACTAGAAAATCCTTCACTGTTTGAAAGTTAAATAATAAATTTTTAAGTAACCCTGGAGTTAAAGAAATCCCAACAGAAATTAGAAAACATTTTAATCCAATTAATAGTAAAGATACAACATTTCAAATCTTGTGAGCAATCCCAAAGTAAGGGCATCTCAATTTAAAAGGCATATATTAGAAAAGAAGAAAGGCTAAAAAACAATGACCTAAACTCCCATCTCAAGAAATTAGAAAAAAAAGAAAAACAGGAACTTAAAGTCAAGGAAATAATAAAGAAACCCATGAATTAAGAAATAAATATATGGCAGATAAAATTAACAAAGCCAAAAGCTGACTTTTGAAAAGATACATAAAATTCATAAACTCCTACCAAGAAAAAACATGGAAAAAACAGAGATTAGCAGGATCAGGAAAGAAAATGGAAACCTACTATAGATTTTTTTTTAAAGATTTTATTAATTTATTTGACAGACAAAGATCACAAATCGGCAGAGAGGCAGGCAGAGAGAGAGGAAGGGAAGCAGGCTCCCCACCGAGCAGAGAGCCCCATGCAGGGCTCGATCCCAGAACCCTGGGATCATGATCTGAGCTGAAGGCAGAGGCTTTAACCCACTGAGCCACCCAGGCGCCCCCCCTACTATGGCTTTTTTAAACAATAAAAAGATATGAAGAGATTTGAAAGATCTCAAGAATAAATTTGGTAATATATATGAAAAACTCACTGAAGCCTAATTTGAGAAGAAACAGGAAATCTGAATTGTAGTGTCTATTAAATAAATTGAGTCTGTTACTAAAGAGACTTCCTACAAAGACAATCAGCAGTTCAGATTTCTTCCCTGGTGAATTCTTTAAAAAGTTTAAGAAAGAAATATTACTCTAATGCTATACAAATTCTTCTACTGAAGAATATTTCCCAACTTGCTTTATAAGGTCAGATAATGTTAGTGACAAAACTAAACAAGGACACTGTAAGAAAGAACAATTACAGATAAATCTCTTCCCTGAACATACAGGTAAAAATCCCAAATGGAATATTAACTCACTGAATGCAAAGATATGTATAAAAGATAATACAACACGATGAAGTGTTTTTATTCCAGAGTAGTTTAACGTTCAAAAGTCAGTGAATATAATTCACTACATAACCAGAAAAAAAGGAAGAGAAATTATGTATATTTTGATAGAAAAAAAACATTTGATTGCAAACATTTACCCCCTGGCAAAATTTTTAATATTTTCTGCAATACTCTAGTTTTTTTTGTTTAGTTTTTTAAAGATTTTATTTATTTGACAGAAAGCAGTCACAAGTAGGCAGAGAGACACGCAGAGAGAGAGAGAGAGAGAGGGGGAAGCAGGCTCCCTGCTGAGCAGAGAGCCCGATGTGGGGCTTGATCCCAGGACCCTGAGACCATGACCTGAGCCGAAGGCAGAGGCATTAACCCACTGAGCCTCCCAGGCGCCCCTGTAATACTCTAGTTATCCAGTGCAGTAATGAAAGGAAACAAAGGCATGAACTTTTAAACAAGCAGATAACAAGACTGTATTCGAAGTTTAAAAAAATAAAAAATGGCAGAAAATCTGTTAGAATTAATAAGTAAATCTGGTAAGATTACTACATTACAAGACAAATATTTTAAAAGGTTGATTTTATGTCTATATATCAGCAAAAAAAGAAAATTTAAAAAATTTAGTGATCTGTTACCATATAAAAACATAAAAGAATAAGATTAGCAAGGGACATATATGTATTTTCACAACTACAAACATTTTTGAGAAAAATTTCAGACTATTTAAATACATGAAGGGTAATATTCTTTTTCTTGACCTGATTGCTAGTTACAAGGCAGCGTCCTCTTCGCAAAAATTCACTGAGCTATACACTTATGCTATGTGCACTTTCTGTATGCAGATTATAAGTCAATAATAATTTATATGAAAAATGTGAAAGCAAAGTGAGCTAAGAATAATGCTAAATCCAATACTCCCATGTTCTACGTATCTTTTAGAGCTTGGCCACAGATTTAATACTAAAATTTCTAAAGCTTACAAGAAAAAAGAAGTTGTCAGTTACACATTTGTGTCCAGTAGATATAAATAAACCAACTGCCTAGAGATACAATTCTTGGCACTAAAATAAGACAGCTATTTCTCATAGAAAAGTTAACAAAAAGAAGACACTTCTTGATATAATAAACAATGTTCTTGACAACTTCAAGACCTTCTGTGACTGTTTCTTCTGATGACACACAATATAGGCCGATGGAATCTTATCAATGCACAATTGTGAAAAAGCAAGTGGTGATAGGATTGTGTGAAGCAATGCTGTCTACATACCCAGCTGCTTTCTGATGATTTGGACCAACTCAGATATAGATCTTCAAAACTTGTAAGTCTGAACACATAAGCGGATAAGCTTCACATATTCCCCCTTGAATATCCGATCTTTTAACAGAGCTTCTGACATTTATCAATCAGCAATGAATTAAGATAAGCAGGGAAGTTAAGGTAAGCAGGAAAGTTACATGTGTGGAGGACAGCTATTTCCCTGAGTATGAACTCATTTTAGCTAAGAAAAGAGATAATGACCTATGCATGCTGTGAAATTTATCCAGGACTAATAGCTGAAAAGATGATCATGCTATCTCTGTCACCAATACCTATCAGGGCTCTTAACAATCCTCGGAAATGATACTGAACCTGCTTCGAAGGAATACAACTAAAAATGTTGATGAAAGACCAAACCCAAAGTTCTGCTACACAGAACATGACTAAAAGAGCTTTAGCCAAAAATATGATCACTTTAGCCAAGGTATGAAGAGTCTCATGAGGCATACTCAAGCAAATAGTTACTAGGAAAGTAAGTCCCTCAATTTGAAGTTCTTTAAAGGATTATATTGCCAATCACACTAACATTTTATGTATCTGGAGTTCACCCACCATGTTCAAACAGAGCTAGAGACATTTTTTCTGATTATTCATCAACTAGAATGTTGAGTTCAGAGTGCTAAAGCTCGTTTACTTAACTGAGGCCTCTGGCTACCTTTTTTTTTTTTTTTTTTTAAACACATGACAGATTTACTTACTTGCTTTCCTAGTTCACAGCCAATTCTAATAAGTATGTGAAGATAGGAAGCACAAAGGAAAGAGGTGCTAGAAACAGGCAGAGTTGTAATAACAGATTACAACTTTGGTAGGAAGCAATAGCAGAATGCAAACACAGAGGAAAAAACTTCAAACACACAAGCTTCCTAGGGCTGTGTCGCAAAAAGTTCTATATCTCAAGAGTCCTCAAGGGCAGCCACCACACAGGACATATTCACAGAAACAGATTCAGAGTGAAGTCTTCAATAAAGATTCTATTATTTTTTAGAGAGTCTTTTTTTTTTTAAGATTTTATTTATTTATTTGACAGATAGAGATCACAAGTAGAGAGGCAGGCAGAGAGAGAGAGGAGAAGCAGGCTCCCCGCTGAGCAGAGAGTCCCATGTGGGGCTCAATCCCAGGACCCTGGGACCATGACCTGAGCCGAACGCAGAGGCTTTAACCCACTGAGCCACCCAGGAACCCCTTTAGAGAGTCTTTTTAAAGAAGATAGGAAAATGTGTAGTACATTTTTAAAAGTGATTCACCCAAAATGTTTTAAATATTAATATTTATTTTGGCTTAGATTTAAACACTTAAATTCTAAGCTTCAGTTATACGGAAGACTGCAATCCATAACCAAAGCTGGGTAGAGCACTATAGTTGATGGGAGAATTTTAAGCTTAACTCACACAATTTATAACATGGAAAAGATAAGCACCTCATTCCCTGACCACACTGGAAAAACAAGGCCCTACTGTTACTTGAAATAAGATTCAAATTATGAAATAATATCTTCACCTACAGAAAACCAAGAATAACTATGTACATCTTATTAGAAGTACTTGAATTTTGAAAACCATCGTTTGTCTCCAGTCATCACACTTTCTCCTTAAGTGGTTCTTATTAATCCTTTCTATCCACAAGACAGGAAAATTATGATTGTGTGAGGAGTTTCTCTTAAGGTATTGATGTAAAAGTTTAACAAATGTTATATTAAAATCTGTTTATGCATATATAAACTGAACACTTAAATAACTTTCTCATAAAGTGTTAACCTACAGAAAGAGACTTTCCATTTTAATTCCCTTTGCCAACAGAAGTAAAATCAAAAGAATATGTAAGTTTTTCAATAAAACATGAAGCATAAAATGACAGAAAAAATGACTAATGTGCCTGATTTTCTATGGATGAAAAATAGAAATTAAAAAAAAACCCTGGGACTTTAAAAACTTAATTTTTCAAAATTCTAAATGGTAAAGAATATGCAGGGGAAATGCTAGTTGGTACACAGAGCCAAAATCAGCCTATGAGTATTCTGGAATTGAGCATGGAATATTTAGAGGCAACAAATGACCTAGTTTCTCTCCACCACGATCTGTAAAAAAAAAAAAAAAAAAAAAAAAAAAAAAAAAAAGGATGATAAGATAGTACTAAGTACCATACAAGTATTTTAAACGCTACAATGCATAAATTTTCAGTAGAACAAAAATAAGAGATGAAATAATTACATACACAATCACAATGAATAGAAATTAAATTCAATTCAGGTCCTATCTTACCTAACCCAGCAAGCCACTTCAAAAACTCCACACCATAACAATACTGTTCTTGTGCAAGGCTTTAAACCTAAAGAATTGCTTAGTTGCATCATAAAGGTTTAAAACTCAGCTGAGAATATGTCTAAGTTGTTTAAGGGGTAAAGAAAAGCATTATCGTATAAATAATATAGATACAGTGGAATGATATGTGGTGATGGGGGAGCATTTTGTTTTGATTTGCTTTGGTAAACTGTTCACAAGTTTTCTAGAGTATCAGTGGAGGAAAATAAAATGGAAGGCACAGTTCAAAATGTTTTTGTTTAGAGAGAAAAATGCACATACCTCATCTAGCTGCCATTAAACATATGTCTACCATTACCCTGCTCATATTTGGAGAAATTCAAAAGAAAGTATCAACACATTTTATTTGCAATCTATCATTAGTTTTAAGGCTGTTATTGAAGGTTACTAATGATCTAGGCTAAGATGATTTTATAGATCTGAAAACTAGATAATGAAATGTTTGCATGGCTTGTTAAAGGACATAGAACTAAATGACAAAGTAAACTCAGAACTCAAACTCTAAACCAACTTCTTCACAACTTAAATATCAAATCATCTCTAACTTCATATATAAAAATTTTAAAATGAGTTAATTAAGAGACAAGGGTGAGATACCACAATTTGGTAACTTTGAAAGGCAAAGAAACATAAATGCATAAATATTGATTTGTTCAGGCAGAGCTACTTAAAACATCCAAATGGCCTAGAATGACTTTTTTTCCCCAAAAAGTAAAAGCCTTTTAGACAAAGCCTATCAAACAGTTCCCATTATTATTAAGGAGGATGATAATTTATATAAACCATCAACTCTTCAGATGTGAAGAACAGCCTTAGTAGTAAATCCACATAAATACACTAGTTGAAATCTAAGCCAAAAATTGAAATCTGTTTTAGCTACAACACTAAATTTATGTGTAAATTATAACTGAGGTCAGCACTTATATTCTTTTTGCAATAGAAAACAATAATCATGCAAATAAAATTAATGAAAATACAGCAAGCCTGGACAGCTGTCCACACAAATCAGTGTGATATGCCTGAAACATCTTAAATATAACTTAAAATGTTATTTAAATAAGATTGAGGTACAAGTCCTTTCTTCTGGCCTTCCTCTGATGAGGGAGCAGATGAACATCAAGTAACCTAAAATCAGCCAGGACAAAAATGGAGAAGCAAGAGTACCCACCACTGAAATTATTCAATCGATAAATATTTACTGAGCACTGGATGCTATAGTATGAAGAATTACTTAAAAAAAAAGAAAGAAAGAAAGAAAAAAGACAACTGAGCAAAAAACTGCACTGTGAAGTTTAACTCTGAGGAAGCTTTTATGAAACACATTATCCCAAGAATGTTGGATCCTGCTAAAGATGATCATCTTTTAAAAAAATCAAGTCATAATCTTTAATATATGTAAAATACATCAGCCTTGCATATTGTTCTATTTTCCTAACTTAAAAAAAGATTTGCCTGGATTTTAAAAAAAATTGAATACCTGTCTTCCTCAAAGGTTGTATCCTAGACAGCACAAATGGTAAATTTAACCAACTCCACATTATTTTACTGTTTACAGCTCAAGTGCCATATAGTTAGTGAGGCAGCCTTCCTGCTATGTAGGCAAACATATGTAATAGTCCAGGTTAAAAAAAAACAAAAAGTCGCTCAAAGTTATTGAATAGAAGTCCCAGCATAAATATCTGTATGCTGCGTCAGATGCTTGATACATTTTTACACAAGAAATACACAGAAATTGAAAAGGAGGGAAAGGTCATTTTTTAATTCTTAGAGAATTACCAATGGTTGTTGCTGAGATGTTTGGTGAAAAATCAGTTATTTCAGAATACAGACACTAATTATTCACTTTACGTTTCTGTATTTCCTAGAATAAAGGAATACTACATTTATAATTAGAAAATCTTTAAGGAGGGGCGTCTGGGTGGCTCAGTGGGTTAAAGCCTCTGCCTTGGGCTCAGGTCATGATCCCAGGGTCCTGGGATCAAGGCCTGCATCCTGCTCTCTGTTCAGCAGGTAGCCTGCTCTCCCCACCCTCCCCCACCCCCGCCTGCCTCTCTACTTACTTGTGATCTCTGTCAAATAAATAAATAAAATCTTTTAAAAAATAAAACCTTTAAGGAAAGGGAGACGGAATAAATCATTGACACGAAGACTAGGTACCCTCCACAAGTCCCACTTGCAGAATAACAACTGCAGAAACTGCACTAGCACTGCAATTTAAAAGTGGAGAGAAAACACACACACACACACACACACACACACACACACACACACGGCAGGCTTGTAGTAGACATTCAATACTGGGGGAATGAAATAACTGACTACATACGTAAACAAGCCAAAACAAAAACAAAATGCATTCCGATTTTGAGGCAACACGGTAAACAATCACAGAAACGACGACTTCGCCAAAACGTGGCTGACAGCTTAATGGGCACTAAATGAAAGAGCTTTTCCTTCCTGTCCTCCTCTCACTCTGACACTAGAAGACACATTCAAAACAAATCCTCCCCCAGCCCCGCCCCAAGCCTGATCCTCGCTCGGCTCCAGTCCTGAAACTGTCTGAAAGTCCGGGGCCTCACGGTGCCCAGACCCGGGCCCCCGTCAGGGAGCTCGCGACCGCGGACACGCCCGGTGCGGCACAGACTGGAGCCACGGCCCCCCAGTCTGAGGGACCCCGAGGGGCTCGCGCTCTAGCCCTCAGCCCTCGGCGGCGGCGGCCCCCTCCCGTCGCCGCGAGCCGCGGGCCGCGCCGTACCTGCACACCGTGATGAGGTTCCTCCTCTCCACCGCAGCATTGCGGGCGCTGAGGCTCTTCTTGCCGCCGCCGCCGCCGCCGCCGCCGCCGCGGCTCCCGCTCAGGCCCCCCAGGCTCCTGGAGGCCATGGTGGGCTGACCCCCGCGCCCCTTTTGTCTGCTGCTACCGCTCCCACCCCCCACACCTGCTTCCCAATGCTCCTGTTCGTTTTGCTACCGTGGGGACACTGGCGAGTCGTGGCGGAAGGAGCGGGGACCGACGGAGGGTGTGGAAGACCGCGGGGGAACTCGTACCCGGGCACTGGCGGCTCGCGCTCCGCACCCAAGCTACACACACACACACACTCACACACACATTCACGCGCACACACGCACGCACCTCCCCCGCCCTCGCGCGCGCCGCCGGCCGCCAGGCGGAGCGTGCGGGGCGGTGTCGGCGCTCCCCCGCTTCCCGAGGGACCTCGGCTGCCAGCACGCGCGCGTGCCCGCCGGCCCGCACGCCCTACCACCTGCCTTCGGCCGCCACTCGCGCCCCAGGGGCGACTGCTGCGGTGAGGCCACGAGCCTCGCACGCGCGGCCCCGCCCTCCCTGCACCTATCAGGCCAACGCAGTCCACCTGGAGCCAATCGCGACACGCAGGGGGCGGGGTCGGCCTCGCGGCTTTTAAAAAGCAACGTGCTCGAGCACCACCCCGGCGCGTGGGCAGCTGTCAAGGCGCCGGGCTCGCGCTCGCAGCCCGCGTGCCGCAGGCAGCCGGCTTGCCGCGAAGCAGCGCTGCAGTTTGCACGGGGATTGTGGGATGCGAGGCGCCGGAGAGACCCGGGAGGAATGCTGATCGTTGTCGGGAGCCCAGCTTTAACTGCTGGGATCTCTAGCTTTAGCTGCTGTTATTTCCATGGCGAAAGCCTATTCCCAGGTTCTCAGCCCAGAAAATACAGCAGTCCGGCGCACTGAACAGACCCAGGACTTGACTCCCTGGAAACGAGCAGGGTTCCTTTTGTCCTAACTCCCTCCCGTGGTCTGGAAAACAGCGACAAATAGCCCGGGGAAGGAAACTGCCCGTAGAATATCCCCCTTGGGCGTGTGATGGTAGGATTTCTTGACCGTCCACGCCACGTCTCTCCTACCTTGGCCTTAGCACGTCCTGCAGCCGGAACTGGCCGCCCACGTGAGAACGAGCGCCGTGCTAATGTGCACCCTTCTCCTGCCTGGGCAGAGACCCCGAAACTGGATGAGGAACAGTGAGTCTCAGGGCAGTTTGGGCCTTGGCTCTTTTGGGCTGCTCCCGGAGAAGAGGGCCGCCCTGGTCGTGCGTTTTTGGAACATAGCGCTCACTTTGCAATGTTTCTTCATCCTCCAGCCTTACCAACAGAAGGTCCTACCCTCTGCTGCATTCTCTGGCACTTACCTAAGTGGCTATCTCCCTTTGCATCAACAAGCTCGGACTACAGAGTGAGGTCCGTTAACTACTGTCCCTGTAGAGCCTAGCACGGTACCCCGCATATAACAAGTTCTCAATAAATGTTCGTTAATGTAACTTGAAGTTACATTTGGCATTATTTTACTGAAATTTCGCAATTTTGGTGGCTCCAGAGTCCATATAACTTTCACCTCTGGTTCTGAAGGTTTTGTCAAAGAACATTGTTACAGAACATAGTTTAGTATAGATATCCCTGTACATCAAGTATATTATACAAAGGAGGGACTGTTAACGGTGGAGGGAATGTTGAACGCTTTAAAAACAGAGTTTTGTATAATAAAGCCGTAGATGACGAATATCTGAGTTTGTAGAAAATTTTAAATCTCTAAAATCATTAGAGCAAAGACAGCCCTTTCAGTGACTAAGTTTAATCATAGTAGAATAAAGATCAGTGTAGGAAAAAAAAACTCAGTTAACTTACTGCAATAAACATTCACACATTAAAATTAGAGAAAATAACTTAGACTTTAAACTTTCACAATATTTAAAACAGGACTGTTTTCTATGTTAGTGCTCTTGTTCCCAAACATTTCTTGTCTTCTCTATGGTAACATGGAAGTTTTTAAGGAGAGTTGCCGTTCTAGAAGCTCCAATTAACTTGTTTCCTCTTGCTACACCAACAGTTTGAATTCAGAAGCAGCCATCAGGAAACATGCACTGACTACACAGGCAGTCTCTGCAAAGTATTTGCACTGGCTATGACAAATATGACTCCTATTGAAATTTTTATTATTTAAACACAGATGAAAACTGCATGAGGAAAGAGTGGAAAGCCATCAATTAGCAAGGAAATTCCTAGGTACCTGTGCTGGTTTTCCCAAGGGAGAGAAAACACACACACACACACACACACACACACACACACACACCCTTAATACTTATCAAGAGGACAAAACCGAGGGCACCCGGGTGGCTCAGTAGGTTAAATGTCTGCCTTTGGCTCAGGTCGTGATCCCAGGGTCCTGGAGTCGAGTCCCACATGGGGCACACTGCTCAGAGGGAAGTCTGCTTCTCTCTCTGCCTCCTCTCTCTCCATTTCCCAGAATAAATAAAATCTTAAAAAACAAAACAAGAAAACAAAAACAAAAACGGGCACCTTCATGGCTCAGTGGGTTAAAGCCCCTGCCTTCAGCTCAGGTCATGGTCTCAGGGTCCTGGGAGGGAGCCCCATATCGGGCTCTCTGCTCAGCGGGGAGCCTGCTTCCCTTCCTCTCTCTCTGCCTGCCTCTCTGCCTACTTGTGATCTCTGTCTGTTAGATAAATAAAATCTTTAAAAAATAATAATTTAAAAATAAATAAATAAAAGACAAAACTGAGTGGTCATATCAAATATGGAAGAGTGAGGCATCATTATTCTCAGAATTAGCTTTCTAGCCTCAAGTACATTTTTAAAAAAAGATTTTGTTTTTTTAGTTGAGAGAGAGAACATGATAGAGAGAGCACAAGCAGTGGGAAGAGGAAGATGGAGAAGCAGACTCCCCACCCAGCAGGGAGCTGGACTGAGTCTTGATCCCAAGACCCTGGGATCATGACCTGAACTGAAGGCAGACACTCAACCAACTGAGCCGCCCAGGCACCCTCAAGTATATTTTCCTGTTGTTTGTGGTATATTTATATTTATGACTGAGACTTAGTAAAACCCCGTCTTAGATAAATAGTTAATAAAGTTTTTTCAAATTACTTTTGGGGGGATTCAGTTGACATAGGCATTTGCTGAAAAAGATTTCTTGTTAAGGCCGTTTTTTGTATGTACAGCGAGTTATTCAGCTGCCACATGGGGGCCTTATTTGATAACGCTTTTTCTTAATTATCCTGAGCAATATGTCCAGCGTTTCCTTCTTTCTCTAGAAGACAAATCCAGAACTAATTAATCAATTGTATCCACTACAAAGCATAATACTATTATAAAGCCACAGGAGTTTTCACACTACTTTTCCCACTCTTTCCGGCACCAGTGGCAGTTCTGTATTTCATTTTTCTGAGCATTTGAACCAAGGCTATTTGGAGATGTAAAGAGACTCCGAAGAAAAATAATGAAAATAGTAGGTGCCTAACTTTAAGTATAAGAATGCTGTAGAACTGAGTATTTATTCACCATTTTCCCAACCTCCTCTTTCTCCCCATCTAGAAAGACAATATTACAATTCTTAAACATCCTCCATCTAAATATCCTCACATCTAAAATGCTATAAGCAAGAGAGATTACTAAACCATTGCTTAGTTTAATCCCAAAGAAGTGGCCTAAGCATGTCCAAACACAGGAGCGTGACAGAAAAAATGGATAAATGTATTTTTTTTTAAATCCACAAATTGAGAGAAAGGGATGCAAAGACAGAGCAAAGGTTAGACAGGAGAGAAGACACTACAGTGCTGGCTTTGAAGAGGGAGGGAGGGGGCCAGGAGCCAAGGAGCCCACGGGGCCTATGGAAGCTGGAAAAACAGCCCTCACAAACCCATGCCCTGGTAGTAATAGTGGAGACCCATGGGCCCAATCAGGCATGGAAGCAAGAACACAGAGAAAACTCGACAGGGGTAGCCTGGGAACACGGACTCTATGCTGCTTGTGTGTTCCTGTGGAGGCCTCAGCCGCATAGGGAGGACCAGCTACGTTTCATCTTCATAAAGCCTTGATATGGATGGAAGCACAGTTCAAGGCTGGAGCATGTTGAGGGGATGAGAGGACACCCCAAAATGGAAGATAACGAGTGAAATACTTAAAGTCCATCGGCAGAATGTGCCAAAGGCAGACCCAGCCTTTTTTCTCCTCAGAAAACATCAGAAGAAGGGCCCCCGCAGGAAGGCGAGACTACCACAATTGTCTCAGGGTTTCCACATCCTGCTCAGGACCTCCTGCAAGGAAGCAGAGACTACTTCCACACGTGGCTTATGAGACTCGGTCTCTGGACTGTTTTCATTTGCCACACGAGCCAGTCCTCAAAACTATTTATTGGATGAATACAATAAAAGAGCAACCCAACAAGTGAATAAATAGACATGTTAAAAAGAACCAAATGTTGTCACAAAATTCACCATTTTCTTAACATGGAGGTGCAGAGCTGGCAGTGAGATGGAGATTAGAAAAGATCCCTTTTTTCTTTTAATCTCCCTAGGAAGGACCTGAATAAACATATCCCTCCCTACAGTCAGACTTACTGGCAGGTGTCCTTGGGCCCAGAATAGAAAGGTATGGCAGAGCTCTGTTGCTGCTGCTGTAATTGGATTGCAGGCAAGCACCCCCAGCACCTCTCCCAGCACATTAGAAATCTGAGGGGGTGGGTGCTAATAACCCATAATCAGTGTTGCATTTGCCAACAGCCGAAAGAAAAATGAACCTTTAATTGAGCGAGACTTGGCATCAGTCAGTGATGGGACTTTAGTCAGGCAAAACCGACAGATTACTGAGTCAGACATCCAACTGTGAGAATTGTTCTCTACTGGGGTGAAGAATGCAAAAATGTGAATAAATGGCATATCTTACCCACCCAGGACCATAAGTCACTGTGAAAAAAAATAGTCTATATTTGTTTTTAAATCTTCTGGAGTTCCTTTTCTAAGTTCTATTTTAGCAGAGCTTAATTTGTTTTGTAACTCCAAGCCCCTTCACAGAAGTGTTGTTTTATTATATGCTGATACTCGTTTCTAAGAGACAACTGAATATAATTAAATTAGCAGCTACCTAGTCAGAGAGCCAGAGAAGGAGCTTGAAGTATCAGTAGTGGGCCTGAGAATTCTGGCAGGATTGTGGTGATAGGTTAGCAGAAGTTTGGGATTGGGATCTCTTTGAAGTCCTACACATAAACAGAGCTACTGAAGAGCAAAACCAAGAAACCCAGCTGTGGACATTTACCACAAAACTCGCTGATGAGATGATCTCATGACCCCAAGTGCAAAGAGGTTTCGAGGAACCACCAAGAGCTGCAAGCCCTGGCTGCTCTCAGCAGCTGTGAGAAAGCAGAGGGAAGCCACAGGGCAGCTACAGACCTAGAACAGGAAAATCCGAAAAAGCCAAAAGGTGGAAACACTCACAGGCCCATGGAGAACTGTGCAGGTACTGGAAGGGGCTTTGTCCATTCCA